CGCCGCTCCGACGAAATAAATCCTCTAACTGAGTGCCAGAGTGCTCGTAGCTGCGCACGTCATTTAGACACAAAATGTGTTGAACGGGAAAAAAACGCTGCCACCTGCAAACTAGCGGAGGGAGAAGCTGTCCGCCCGCCAGCTTCAGAACAGGACACGCGATCCTGTCACCAGCACTCTGGAAATAAAAGGGGGGATAAAAAATTAAAAAAAGCGTTTCTTGTCAAGCAGCAGATACTGGAGCCGGCCAGGGAGTCAGTCACAAGTGACAGTGCCACATCCTTCAGTAGGGAGTGGGAGCAGAAGCCTGGTTTGCAGAGATTTCAGCTGCCAGGCAGAGAGATGGGCTGTGGTGGGGACAGTTATGGTCCACAGTGTTTATTAGAATCACATTAGATTTTGTTTGGTCATGGCTCCAGCAATCGTGAATAGAAAACCGTAGACAGAGGGAATTTACCACACTGCTTTTTCACTCTCTGAGGAGCAGACATGCATGTGTTTGTTCTCTAGGCAGGTGGCTGCTATATAAGCAGACATACAGGTGCCCATCCTTTCTTTTTAGAGTCATGGCTTTTTAGAGTCCCTTCACCGGAGTAAAGGGAAGGGAGGAGAGGACATAAAACACCAGGTTATCATTATGCCAACAACCAAGTTCTTTTTTCCACAGAAAATGATGCAATCACCTTTGATACTATAACAACTAATTAAATCCTAAGAGTTACAGCAGTCATACAAAGTAAAATCAAGCTTTATATGTGGTATCATCTATTCAACTAGTGAAGTACAGCATCAGGAACACATTAATAATTTTTTAAGAGGATAGGAATGAACTATGGCATTACATAAATAGTCAGGCATTTCACTCATAAATGCCACCTCCACCTACTTTGTAACATCACTAAAAATACTGAGTTATAATCAAGAATTCAATTATAACTGAAACACAGTGACACTGCTCATGCCCAGATTAGAAACTGAGAACAGCTTATCACACTGACAAACTATGTCATGCATTTTTGGTGCTCCTTAGAAAAATCGTCATTAAATAATACTTTGCCATGTAAACAATCACATTTTTAAAAACTGTAGTGAAAAATTCATCATACTTCCACCTCAGATGTTAAAAAAAAAAAAAAAGATAAAATTCTACCCTTCCTGAGGACTGTTACCACCCGAGCAATTGTTTTCATGCCTGCCTAAACAAGCAAGATTAGTCCCTAATTTTCAAAAATAGCATTTGTCAACAGGAAGGCCTTACCTCCATTCTTTTGCTATCTTAAAGCACTTGGACCACTGGTTCCCTTCAGGGCTGAGCTAACATCAAGTCTGGTCTCAGCTTTTCCATCTTCTCTTCCAAATATTTTTTGCTGGTGTAGCTGCAGACTTCAGGGCCAGGTAAGGCTCACCCAATCTAAAAGTGCTTGTACAGAGGATTTTTGAAGAAGGCTCCAAGGACCTGGACCGGACTTCTGTAATACAGCTCTCAGTGTTGCTGTTCAGCCTCACCACCAAGAAGCTGGAGACATTTGCTCTGGTTGCAGTGTCACTTTTAAGTACAAGAATTTTAAAAGCACTTTACCTGGACAGGACTGACAAAGCAAGGGGCATATCCAGCAAATGGCATTACGACCCTTCCAGCCCTGAGAAAAACCACCCCTCAGGACCACATGCTAAATAGAAAGGATTTAGAATCTCTTCCCTCATAAGTTTGGGGGGAGAAACCGTCACACCTGGTTTCTTCGTGGATCCCCAGCACTTTACATTACCATCACCTGCTCTTCCATATCCCAGAGCTGCATATTCTCACTGATGGGACACAGTCACTGACTCCTGGACAGGATAACCCTTTTGTACCTCCAGGAGAAGGGGCACTTAATCATGTCTCTTCTTTTTTAAATCTAATCCTTTCAACAAACCAAGAATCTGTAGAAATTTTGTATCTCTTACAGCTCTACACTCCTTACCTAATTTGGCTTAAGTGAACATGACAGTTACTGCGAACAGAGGAAGATTTTACAGCACAGTCACATAAGTTTTATTTACTTAGCAAACCTGTTTATTTGTTGCATCTGACTTGGAATGTAAGGTATTAGCCTTGAGAACCCACAAACTGTTCTAAAGCCAGTCAAAAACAGACTTAAGCTTTGTTTTGCTGATGTATTTTTTTTAATCTGGAAAAAGCACTTTTCTACACATCACTAGCATTACATTCCAGGCCTCAGGAGTTGTCTGACGGTGACTCAGTGACAAAACATGCTGCAGAAGAACATCACATTCCTATCTCTATGCGCCACAGTTTCTGTCAAGACAAGTTAGCGTATCTTTTCCTATCAAACACAGAAGTGCCACCAGCCTTCCCCCGAGGAGCTCTGCTGTCAGGCAGGCAGGTGTGCGCTCTCTGCTGAAATCCCTGGAGAACCTCCTGGAACAAAAACCTCATCGCCTGGTTTGTTACTCTTTCCACAGCCGTTTCTCAACAGCGTTTGAATCATAAAAATGTTCCCGGGGAGTTCGGAGCCCTTTTTGGTAACAGATCCACCA